ACACCAGGCAATGTTGTCTGTACTGACATATTCTCCCAACACAAAAGAGGTACTTCTGTCACACTATTTACTTTGACTTTTGGTATAATCAGTGTGGTATCTCCTGTCATCAACTGCCAACAATCACTTGATTGCTAGAAAATAAATATAAAAAAATTATAAATCTTTTAAACAATTCATCGTATTGTCATAAATGTAAAGGATTCTGATTTCAGCAAAAATCCTCAAATACGAGCAATGTTCATTTTTTGCATTTTGTCTTCCATTAAGTGATAAGAGTTTATAAATATTTTGAATACAGTAGGGCCTAACCCTCTTTTAGCCAATATATATTTTGTGTTATCCTACAGACACCATAAAAAACAACATGTGAAAATAGAGGGCATTTTTGTCTGATACCTTAAAATACCATAGCCATTTCTGCACAGTGTCCCTTTTGGTTTTACATCTCCCGAACCTTAGGTTATGGAATATTCTTACAACTTCTTGTATGCATAATATCTATTATTATACATCTGTCACCGTAACGCCATAAGTTACAGCGTGCCGTAATTTTGCGGTATTTTACGGGGTATTTTCATCCTACCATATTAGTAAAGGCGAATTCCAAATATGGAATGATTACGCGCGTAAGCGTCCTCTAATAATAAAAAATAAACATGGCTGCCGCCAGGATTTAACCGGACTCCATACAAAGAAGTTCGCTGATTCTGTTCTAAACTTTTTAGATTTTGGCATTCCCGTGATGTATCCTTGGTAGGAAAATATAATAATAATAAGATATAATAATAAGGTTATTACGAAGATACCTTGAGGTATGCACTCAGACAGTACGCTGTTGCATCGACCTCCGCTGCGCGTCGGTCAATACTGCCGCTGTACTGTCTTCGTGCATACTTTGAGGTATCTTCATAATAACCTTATATTATGATGTCCTTTATGTATTATACTACTTTTATGAAATACACGAAAGGTATTTTTCTAGTCATCACTAAAAAATCACACATGGCTTTTTATGGATTGGGCCATATTGCTGTTGGTATGGATTTATGGTTTATTATGGTATCAGCTATTATGACAATTATGGCTTTTTTCTGGTAAAATTAGTTACACTTAGATTGAATATGGTAATTTATGGCATTTTATATGATACTTGATTGTGTAATGGTATATTATGGCTTCAGATTTAAAATTTTATGGTAATACATGGTGTCAAGAGTTCACCAAACCATATGTTACTATACCACCAAAATTTCATTAAAATTTGATACACAAGTGGCAAATCTGTTTAGACTAATGGCATATTTTTGCTTCTAGCTGTCCAGACGTTTTTGTTTATCATATTTATACTTAGTTTTTCTTTAGCCAAAATATATCAGTGGTCAAACTGTAGAAATGTTCATTTCTTTTGATAAACAAATTCTTCTAGTGCCACTAGTCTATAAACAAATGAAGATCATTAACATTTTAAAATGACAGCTGTTTTAGCCCATGAAAAGGTTACTACACGGGCAGTACATGTAAATGCTAAATCTGTTGACAACATTTTGAGTTTCAAAATATATTCAGAGTACAGTACAGTTCTCGCGGAAGCTTTGGCTTCACTTCAGCTTCACCTTCGCTTCAGCATCGCATCATTATGGCATTGTTATGGCTTCAGCATCACTTCAATGTCGCGACATTAAAAAGTTACACGGTTATCGCTTCGCTTCATTGTGGCCTCATTATGGCGACAATGTGGCATCAGCATCGCTTCATCAAACAAAGAAGTACTCTACTCATTTCCCCCAAACCTCTTGACCGCTTCCGTTTTTGACCGGTCATTTTCCGTTTTATTTTCGACCGTGCAACAATTCGGACTACTAAAA